TAATTTTGATTTAATTTATTATTTATCGTTTTCTAATTTTCAGAGTATAAGTTAATCGAGGTCAAAGTTATTTTACATTGGTATAAAAATAGACGTTAATAATGTTGGATTAATATATACTTAAAGATCAAACATTCTTCAATACAAAGACCAATCTCTCTATTTCAATACAAAAATTTTCTTTAATTCTTCACATTCTTTTAAATGGCACATACGCAAGATAAAAGTGTGATAAGATTTATGTAAAATGTAAATAATAAATACATAATATAATAATATAATATAGGTGTTAAGAATATGGAAGTTACGCAAAAATCCATCGATTATAGTCGGAGATATTAAATCATCATGAAAGCACAGAAGAAATCTTTATCTGCATGAAGACAATTCGCGATATGTATTTACATCGTTGAAATCTCGCGATAATAGACAATGACAAAAAGTTCCGTCTATTAGCGAAATCAATCAAAAGTGTTCAGCGTTGGTATACAAATCACCTTTTTTAACTCTTCACCGCCGTCACCGTCGGCGGAGAATAGCATGAATTATAAGCCGGTAAGAGTTCAAAGGTGTTTTCCATTTGGTGCTACAAGTTAACACAAGTATTCTTCAACAATTATTCTTCAAGTTCTATCTTCGTTAGTCTCTGAAAATGGCAAGAAAAATATATAATGATACTTGTGTCGATTAATATCGCTAAATGAAAAGTACCCATGACTGAATCTTATATAGGTATAAAACCGTCTTAAGTACAATTTTAAGATATAAGTTAATCAAACGGATGTATTAGCCTCTTAAGACATTACTTAAGATTGCCTTAAGATAAAAACGGACTATGCGAATATCGACCACGAAGCAATATTAGTACCTTTTAAGACATTACCCAAGACAATCTTGAAATAAGAACCGATGAATTGAATGACTAGCCTGATATTCCCGATCTCACTCCAATCCCATGATCGACTCGAGAGAAACAGAGAAAGAGAGAGAGAGAGAGAGAAGCGTCGCGACGCGAGCGTCCTGACTCCCGTTGGATATTTCAGTCTGCTTTTCTCACGCGAAGTAGCGGCGTACGTATATACTTTAATACGTATACACAGCGTCGCACGTAGATATATAGCGTTCGCTCGTGGCTACGCCGTGACTATTATTAGTCCTCGGTCATCGGAGAGGAGGCCCTGTGTGCGCGAGCGAAAACTCGACGACGACAACGGCGACGCACGCACGCACGCACGCACGCACGTACGCACGTTCGACGCGGAAAAGTCGCGTCTATCTCGTCGAGAAAGTGCGCCGTGCGCGTCTCTTGGATCGCGCCCGGAAATTCGCCTCCGTGCGTGCACGTGCGTGCGGAACGCACGCGTTGCGCCGCCGCGAGATCCCGTTCCGTCCGGTGCGTCTGCTATAACAGTGACCCGTGTGCAAGAAGAAGGATCTCGGTAGCATCCGCTCGTTGGACCTTGGAAAGGATGATTCTCGCACGCTCTTCACTGTGAGTCATTCGTCATTTCTTCCCCCTCCCTTTCGTCATTTCGCGAATTCATTCGCCCTGTGATTTTTTTTTTGTCTCGGCGAAAACAGGGAGCTTTTCATTTTCTCCACGAGTCGACGTACATAGTATCGTTCTGTTTAACAAATTCCATTCGTCTAACAAAGATAGAACGATACTTGTGTTGACTTGTGTCACTAAAAGCACCCCTTGTTTCTCGATGAAGCTTAGATTTTTTTTTTTTTCTTCCGATGTATTGACGAAGAGCGACGCGGAAAGATACAGCGTTGTCTTTTATGGTTCCGGTTCTACAACTCACGGTTAACTCTTAACCAAGGTTCAATTTGTTTTCCACCTCTTTCCAATTTTAGAATGAATAAGTTGAACCTCGGTTAAAAGAGTTAACCCGTGAGTTGTGGAACTGGGCCTTAGAAAAAGGTAAAAAGTTAAAATCGAGAGTAAGGTTAATATGAATTGATAGAAAACCGAGAAACGGATGTTAAACGTAACAAATAAACGTAACTACTACGTTAAATTGAAGCGAGGTTTAATTGATTGTTCGTTTCCCTCTCTCTTTGGATCCACTTCACATCCAGTAGGAGTCGCGATCGTCGTTTAACTCGCGTTAGACTGCGATCAGCTTTGACTAACTTGAGAACGGCTTCCGTCGAGATCGGTTGATTTTTTTTTTTTTTTTTCATGATACGTATGTAGCGCTGAGATCTGAAATCATCCGAAATTATGTCCGCAACATCTGCTTTCGATCTGTCGAGAGAGACATGGTTTCGCACAGTTGAGTCATTCTATATCAGTGACATTTCTCGATATTTCCGACTGTCGAAGCACGTCGTGCAACTCGCGGGACAAAAATAGGATATTGTTACGGACGTTACGGTATCGAAAGCACACGAGGTGTTTTATTTATTATTTTGCTCCTGTTCCGTTTGCAGTTATTTCTTGATGATCGTAATGACGATGAGAAAGATGCGCGACGCGTCTCTTGGCAGACTCGCAAAATTTATCCGGATATATTGACGCGCGCGAATAGGAAGGCGACGTGCATGGAAACAGATTGGTGTATAAACAGCGTTAGCTAACAGTAATCTAATTGAACAAGATGTTTATTACTTGGAAAAACCTGGAAAATCTGGAATTTTCGGGAAACTTTTTCTTTACCCTTGGAAATCAGAGATTTTTATAGAATTTTATTGGATCTTATTTGGAAAATTTTGGGAATTTTTCTTTTAAATGTCTGTGAAATTGTCTCTTTTTTTAAAACAGCATTAAAAAAAATTTTTTTTTGCTAATGTAAATATTGGCAATGAATACGACATACACATTTGCGTATATTTATGTATAGTTTGGCGAATTTTTATTTAAAAATTTGAAGACAGTAGAAGATAATACTTAGCAAAATAGAACTGATAGTGTTAATGAACATTCCTTATATTATTCTACATATTACGCGGTTTTATTGTACAAAATATTGTACATATTGTCTCTACAAAATTATAGACATTGTATTGGAATTCCTGTCTTTTACTAATTTTCAATATATAGTTTGATCGCATTCCAATTTATTTTAAAATTGAATTAAAAAAATTCTTTGATTTTACCTGAAATTTTGAATAAAAATGGAAAATTCACGGAATTTTTGTACAAGATTTCAGTAAATATTCTGATTATTAAAGACAATCTTAAATCAATATTAAATCATTAATTCGATATTAATGAAATAAATACGTCGTGTTTTAATTTTAATAAAATGCTGTTTATTTAAAAAAATGCATTAATATTATACTATTATTCTTAATTAGTCAGACTATCTTCAATTAGAATAATGCTGTTCATTTGTCATTCTTTTCATATGCAAACTGAAAAATCGCGTGATAACATTGCATTTCTTGTACGCGCGATCTGAAACAGCGATATAAACACAATGGCGGTATACGTCCAATTTCGTATGTATTTTTCCTTTCTCCTGCGAAAGAAGACGATTTAAAGAATTGATGAACATTTTATAAATGACAGAGAGGCTTCGCCTTTGCACTATAATTATCAATTCTTTTTTGTCTGTTTTTGTCTGTTTTTTTTTTTACGTTGATTTATTTATTTCTCTTTTGTGAAACTATAAATTTTATAAAAAAGAATAGATGAGACACGTAATGTGTATGTGTAAAAAGCAATTTTTTATTTGGAATATTTCTCGTCAGACATTTATTGTCTCTTAGAGACAGTCGAATAGACCGATTCACGCAGTCTATTGTTTTTTTAATCGCGTAGATTAATTTATTTAATATTCATAATATGCTACTGTCCGTGACAATAAATTGGCGCGTAAATTAAACCCACGCGTTTAATTGAGTCCACGGCGTGTAACGTATACACATTTAACATCCCGCATACCTCGCGATATGTTACCATAACGAGCTTGTGCATTTAGCCAATATGCTCGTTGCATTTATTGTGGCGTACATTAACAACGAAAGATACGTACGTGTACGCTCTTTATTATATATTCTCTCATACACGGTATATATAGAGAGTGTTTCTTAAATATTATTCAATTATTTTAGGAATTGATTTTTGAGATTATTTTATAAAAATACAAATATAAACACACGGTTTCGAAAACCTCATTTCAAAGATACAGCAAGTTAAAAATTCTACAGTTATCATTCAATAACTTAATAGTTTTTAAGAAAGATATTAAAATTTTTCTTTTTTTAGAGAATCTTTAATGAGATTGTACTGTAATAAAATAATAAAAATCTACAAAAAAATTCCATCGAAAGTAAAAGTTTGGGATAGTAATATTATTACTTAATTCTGTGTGTATATATTTCTATGTCATTGATTTCTTACAAAACAACGACTATTGGCAAAAAATGAAGATAATACCTTGTCTATTTACTAGCTCAAAGTTGAAGAAAAAAATCTTTATTTATTTAAGTACTAAAATTAATTTTATAAAATTTTCAATCTTGTATTTTTGAAACCTTTGGGACCACATATATATATATATAAATTAATACGAACTTTTTTTTCATAAAATAACTTTTAAAATCAATTCCGAATATTGGACAGTACTTAAGAAACATCCTGTATGCACTATAATGAATAATGCACGTGGTTAAGCAGCATATTACAACGCGAGAAGCGAATGCCAAGATTTTGTTGATTATTTTAAAACTTCAGATTTTGGAATTTTATTTGCAAGTATGGTCAGACATTTTTACTTACTATAAAGGGAAAAAAAAAGTCCTTAAACTTGGCTTTTTGTTTAATATTATTCCGCTTAAAAAATGAAATTGACTTTCACGTCTTTACATAAATATTAAGCATTATATATACTGTTTTGAAAATTTTTAACGCTTCCGAGAGGAAAAGTTAAAGTTCCAGAAATAATTTTGATCATGATGTGAAATTTTCGATTATATCATATATTGCAAAACTATCTCTTATAAAGCTCGACTACATCATCGTGTTACTTTATTTGATGTGTCATACATAGAAAAATAGAACATGATACACTTGAAAATTAACACCATTTTATACTATTTTCAATTTTACAAAATTATTACATGTCTGAAATATCATAAAATAAATATCTATCAATGGAATAAATATTATATACAATATAATAACATTAAAAGATTAAAGTGCAGAACATTTTGATCAATGTTTCCACTTTCTTCGAATGTTGAATCATCTTTCTAAGTTTTCCATTTGCATAAGTGGCAAATTAAATTGGAAAGTTTGACTCGATATTAGCTTTTAATATAGACGGTGCAATTATTTTGAATTAATTTAGCCTCGTTATGATACAATTCTGTAGCGAGTAAAAGATTTTCACGAACTCGAGGCACATTCGAAGGACTCATTAGATTCTTGTGTGTCTTATGCGTGATATGTATTTTTTTGTTCTCTTTAGATGAGGGATGCAGTTTCACAGAAAGGAAGTAATAACGTAGCCGCCCCCAAGTCCAAACCGTCCTTAGAAATATACCGACCCCCAGGTTTGTATTCTCCGGCTATTAAATGACGAGTACATATCATCGTAAATCTTATCATTCATCATTCGAGTCGTCGTCTTAGTTTCATGGTCACCTGTAGGTGGGAGAGCGGAAGGAGCCACGGCGAACGTCACTAATCTTCGACTAAACGTGCACGCTAAGGAATTCACGATGAAGCAGAACGATTCGCATCCTTCTAAGTGAGTATGAAACAGCGGACTATATTTAAATAGTGTACTGTCGCCGTGTGTGAACATTGGTTGAGTTGAGTCACGACGCTGTTTCTGAAACCGTTCAGAGATTTTCACGTTAATTATAATGAAAATTATAAAATAATCTGGAGATTTTTTTTATATATTTAACGCTGTAACATCAAAATGATTTGTTTAGTGACCGATTTCTGTCTTCATGAGAAAATATTTAAATCAGAAATTATCTTTTTTAAGTTCAACTTTATCACTAAATTATTTACAGTAGTAGTAATAATAATATAAATATATGTTCAGTGTTTTTTGATAAAAAAAAAACATTGGTCGAACAAATGGACTCTCCAAGATCTCGTAGCGAATTTGAATGGATGCACCTGATGCGCACGTTAAAGCCATTATATATAAATTAACGTAAAAATGTGTGTTTGGTAAATATAAAAACGGATTAAATCGTGAAAAGTCTCACTTGGCCTAAATACATTTTATTGTGCCGTTAAATAAAAATCTGTATTTTATATTTGAAATATTTGCATTTTGCTTATATACAGATATATTACTTAAATCAATGTACAACGGCTTTAATACACAGTAGTGCAAATCCTGAATTTGGACCGATCTGTAAATAATCTAAAGGGACATGTATCTCAACTATAGGTCTCGGAATAATGCATCGGAGCGCTCCTCGTATTATCTGCAGCACAGTAAATCGAGCGGTAATATACACCGTTATCTCTACGCTCAGCAACAACAGCTACAACATCCTCTGCAACAACAGCAACAGCACCAGCTACCGTCCCGTCATTCTCACAGTGGCCATCACGCAAATTCCACATTTCGACAGCTCCATCCTTTAGATACGTCTGCATCCAGCGGGAACATCTTGCACGTAAGTGAGACACAGATAGTGCTTTCTAAGCAAGCGACGCAGTGCGACACAATAATTATAGCATTTTTTGCTTTGTTTAAATTTGACGAATAAGAATGTAATGGTTCTTTTTGTTACACTATGTGTTCATCTATGTCTCTTGCTGGAAGACATCCAGAAACGTGAAAACTGTGCGCAAAATTAAAAGGAGAGATTTAAAAACATCGAACGCAAAGCCAATCATCCGGTTTAATTCAAGATTGAATGCAGAACAATCGTTAACTTATCGTTAACTTAAGAGAGAAGCTCTTAGGTTTAGATAAAAAATTATTTTGTCCATTAGGTCGCGAATCGGGTACATTTCAATGTGGAACAAAACGAAGTCAAAGCTAATTCTGTAAAACCGGGCAAGCTTACCAAATCGCACACCTTCGTATCGACTTATGGCCTGAAGCGCTCGAAGAGTCTGAACTCAACGGATGTATTAGCCGCTAAAGCACTCAATATCGCGGACGCCTCTGAGCTCGGTAAATTTCCCTCGCCCGTTCAAGATATACTTTTGCGAGCGATAGAAGGTAAGAGAGTTCGTCTACTATCAGTTACTAGAATGCATTAAGCTTAAGGACTTAAATTAGATCATGTTTCAATCAAATTGTACATTACATACAATACTTTATAGTGTGATCTATCATTGGAACATAGCAATTCAACAAAAATAGACAAAATATAGTATTTCCAACTACAGGGTTTTTTAGTGATAAAATATTGAAAAATGCCAATAATTTAAAAATTTTACAATTACAAAATTATTGAAAGTAATTGACGTTAATGTATGTTGTTGACAGATCCGAATCTTTTAAATGCGAGAACGTTGATGGAACTAGTACGACACATTCTGGATAGGGTAGTGGAGAATCGCAAGTATGCCGAGCCGGCAGCTAAAATTTGCATCACAATTATAGAGGTATTTCTTTTTTATTATCCTTTCGTAAAATTGATCAAAAAAAGGTCGACGATGAACACTTGCTGTTTATCTTTTCACTAAATGTAAATGAAATGGAAATGAGATATTTTAAGAAACTTCATCCTTTTTTTTAATTAAAAAAATAAATAAATTAAAATAAATAAAAAATATAGTCGTTTGCTATTAAATATTGTTTGCGTTTCATTTTATTTTATGCGTATTTAAAAGAATTGCACAAACAGTAATATTCTAATTTAGACGATGATCTTAATGCGACGCACACGAGATGAAATATATAACTTGAGATACATTTTACGTACAGAAAGAAACAAAGGAAACTTTTCTGGAATCCTTGCTAAATACGTGCCAACAATGGTACCAAGATCGCGCTAGATTACTGCACGACAGCACGACCTGCCATCGGTATTCAACCTTTATGACGTTTCTCAACGAGATGTATTGCCAGGTATAACTAAGCACATAATGACACGTTCATCACGAGGTATCCATTATCCCCATAAGAAATGTACTGATTAGTTACGACTGCAATAATACCTCTGTGTAATAAAAAGAAACGGGTCAATTTTTGATCTAACGTATAATTTAGCGTTTATTTCAATTTATATACTCGTTGTTTTTTTTTTATTGTCTGCTGCATGTTATGACGGTACTAAGCTTTCGAGCGTGCCCGCATAAACGTGCATAATCGCGTTGTTCCAGTTGAAACGACGGCAGCTACAATTGAAGACACAGCAGGAGGGCGTTCCTCCCGGACGCGTGCTGCTCACGCTGCTTTGGAAATGTTGCCAGGATTGTCTGCAGCCACCTGCCATCAATTCACTTACCGAGGTAAGCCTGAGTTCGATTGACGAGTGTTACAAAACAAAACCATCGTCCTGCGACAAAACCGAATTTATTAACTTCATCCTTATAACGAATTCGATCGGACGCACTAATATGTATTGACATATTAAGGCTGCGTTCCACTGATCGCTTGCAACACTCGTGGAATCATTTCATCCTTGTTGTTTATCAAACAGGAACAAACGATGCTCGCGAGCGTTAAGTGGAACACAGCCTTAAACTATTACACACTAATCTAATTTGTAAGTGTAAAAGTGAAATGTAAACATTTCGAATTATAAAATATATTTTGCCAAACAGCATAATAAAGTCTATTAAGGATTTCGGTGCTTAAGCCACATCTATATTTATATTAAATACACATCTTTACATCAATTTGTGATGATTTTGTGCACCAGTATTGAGTGTATCCAATATCGAATTTGTTATTACAAGATGTTTATTATTTATATAGAGAAACCTGGAAATTTGAAATTTTTAAGGGATTTCTTTTTTAATTTTAAGAATAAGGAATCTTCATAGAATTTTATTAGGACATTTTATTTATTTATTTATTAACTTTTGAAAATGTTATTTTTTGGATCATTTTTTTCTTGATAACGCAGAATGTTAACAATCAGTTAGCAATAAGTATGACATATATAAATAGTATATTCTCATGTATATCTAGCGAGTTTTTATTAAGAATATCAGAGTGAGACAATACTCGGCAGAATAGACTACTATAATAATCTTCTCCATACTACCCTATAAGTTTGCGGCTCTAATTCTATAAAATGATAGATATAGTTTCGTGTAATACCTCCTACTTTTCAATATATTTATTTGTGTTGCACTCTAATTTATTTCAAATAAAAAATTCTCTAATCTTATCTGGAAAATCCGAAAATTCTCAGTAATTTTTTATAAGTGTTCAGTCTTATATTAGCTTAGCAAAATTTCTTACTATTCCGTTCCAAGTTTGAGCCAAAATTACAGAGTACAACATAAGTATTAGACAAATCTATACAAATATGAAATTGCCAATCCAAAGCTATGTTCGAATTCCTATCCAAGTATCGTCCAAGCGTCATTTTACTCTTGTTCCAAAAAAAAAAAAAAAACCTAATGTGTAAAGATATCTAGAGAGTACTCGGGTGGGAATCTGAACGCGTCCCAAGGTAGATTTCACACGATCGAATGAACTTACGTCATTCTCGCGCTGGATTCCCCGAATTACTACGAACCAATCTTTGGCCGAAATTGAAGTTCATCGAAATTCAATAAAAGGTTGATCTCTTTCTTCGTCTAAATCATAGACGAACTGCCTATTCTTCATCCTCACGTGCATCGGCAAGGACCTGGACGCGGAGCTGCCCGCGCAACTACAGCAACTGCTCGGTAGCGTGCGGGACGCCTTCCTAGCAGAAGAGACGACGCTGCCACCGGTGAAGAGGACTCTCCTGCAACTGATCGAGCTCCATGCCGCTCATTGGCAACTGCCAGCGCCTGCGGTGGTTTACTACTACCCCTCGAACTCAAACTCCAAGTGACCGCCACTCGACACCTCCGCGGTCTCCGTCCATCTTCCCAGAGTACGTGCGAGTGGACTTGCACGAAAGCATGGGTGTACTTTAAGTATTTGTACCGGAACGAAATATTTTCTAACGAGCGCGCTAATATGCCTTTCGACGCGACAATAAATACACGAACGAAAGTACGACGTCGATGAGAGTTATATGCAATCCTTTTGGTTTTTTTTTTTTTATTTCACGACGATCGCGAACGGTTTGCGATGATCTCGTTCCTTCCACGAAACGGAAAGTTTTTGTTCGATGATTCTGTATGCAAACGGTGGTATACGAATAAACAAGTTCTTTTACAAGTGCATCCCATTCTTGCGATTGAACAAGACCGGGGAATCCCTGCGAAAACGCATTTGGATTTATGCGGGTGATATTTCATCCTTTCCGGAGGAAGGTGAAAGACCTCTCGAAAGATCTCGCGCTTCCGAAATGAAGAAGCGGCTGCATGAATGCGCTGCACACAACAATGCGCGTGATCTCCTTTTCCAAGTGCCGATTTGTGCCAAGGGCGATAAAAGATCGACCAGCAGTCGAGAACAGTAGACGCGATTTCTCTCCGGGTTGAGTCATAATGCGAGTACGCCGCCGATGGACGCACCTTTTGTGTATCCGGCTGCCAACAGCACCCGTCGTCGAATCCCGATGAGCAGCCTAATTAAGCTGCGTGTAAACTACATTGCGAGAAATCTGGGATCTGAAACAGAGGTCTACGGTTTCGAAACAAGAGCGCGCGACAAGAGATGTACTATTAATTATAATTAAAATACGTAACGATAATTAACCTAAACAATACAAGCGTATTGTTCGAGATAATTATCATTACGTATTTTATGTAATGTATCAGTCACAGAGACGTTTTTTAAAAGCACTCTAATCCTTTTAAAACACACTTTACATCTCATTCAGACTTCTGTTGTTCGAAACACGTATTTAGTGTTATTTAATCATCAAAATGCAAATATTCTTTGTTGAACGTAACGTTACTCGATCATCAAATACAACGTGTTCGACCAACATAATACAAACGTGGAGCCAACTCGTAAATCGGTAAAATGTGCTTCCGTTGATGTCGTTACGTGACGTATCAGCGTGTTATCCTACTCTTTCCGACCATCGTTTGTCGACTTGCATCGTTGACACGGATTTTCACTACGATAGTGCGGCTGTCGAAGAGGAGAAAAAAAAAGTCACTGGGGAATGTCGCGACTTGATTACACGAACGTACCGTGTCCTCCGTGTCGTCTCTAACGTGCGCATCGGCACCGTCCATCCGACGTTGCTCGACCTTGAAACGACCGGCAGGGACTCGAGAGAGGTTTCGCCTTGGGTAATCGGTGCCGCGGACTCGAAAACTAGGCCTGCGCCCGCGGTGACGTCGCCGCCGCCGCCGCCGCCGCGCGGAATCGCGCCTTCATGTACAGTGGTTTTTCAACCAGCACAGTCGTGGGACCGCAGTAAGTGCACCGCGAGCACGCTCCTTGAATGCCTTGATTCCCGCGAACGTTACTTAAAATAGGATGTTTTTAAAGAACGATCCCTCGAGCCTCAGTTGGCTCTAACAATTTAATCGGAACGGCTTTAGGCATCAAAGGATAAGGCTCTTTCAAATAAAGTTTGAGATTTTGATTGTCGTTAATACCCATTTCTAACAATGTAGATTAGCTTTAATCTTGGTCTAACTTACTTTTTATCTTCTTCCTAGTTGTAAAAGTTGGAAAAAGATAAAGAGTAAGTTAGAGTTGGTTACCAAGTTAATCTGTGTATTGATGTATGGAAACGAGGGTAAAACGAATTGTATAATTGAGTCGATTGAAAAAAATCGTGATAAGATAAGAACGTTGAACGTACGAATGCCAACTCTTATCTTTAATGTCTACTACTATCGACATAGATCAATTTGGTTTGACTTAACTTAGAATTGGAAAAAAAAAAAAATGAAGGCTACGTTAAAGTCAATCTACATTTTGGTAAAAATGGACATAGAAGCGTCGTACGAAAAATGGTTGAAGAACACTGAGGCTGACGACGCCGTAGCCCGCGGAGGAGGCGGCGAGAGGGACAGATACGGAGGAGGACGAGGAGAAGGAGAAGGAGGCGCGTTCGCGGTAACGAAACAAATAGGCCGGCGACTTTCACCGCGCGACCAAGAGCGACTGTGTGCGGTGGCGGAGGTGCAGACCAGCGCACAGTCAGATCCCCACAGTCTCCTCCGAGAGACAGCCACAGCCGTTCTTGGGGCCCGCGTGTGTGTATCATCGTTGCTCCGTCTGTCCTCCCGTTTCCACGACGGGCCCGTGCTGCCGAGATAGCGGATGGTGATTTAATTTCTCCGGGAAAAACCAGGCACGTGGTGCTACGGAGGTGCGCGCCATACCGCCTTCATTTTTCAATTCTTATCCGCGCGCCCACACGTGACCATTCGCCACCATTCGGACCAGTCGAAAAAATCCTACGGCGGCATTTTTGCACTCCGTGTCACCCGCGGTGAGCTCTTTCTCTCTTTCTCGTTTCTTCGGCGAGACTGCCAGGTGGTAGCGAACGATCCGCCGCACTGCTCCGCCGCCTTCCAGTCTCTCTGGACCGGTTCGCGTCTTTGGGCTCCGGTGAATTGAGAGATTCGTATGTGCCGCGCGATTGGTATATTCTCGTATCGCCCGCTGATAGACGGTACCAACGGCATGCGTCCCCGAGGACACCGTCGATGGTAGAGAAAGAAAGAAAGATAGAAAGAGATCGTACGAGGGCCTGAAAAAGAAAACGCTCGCTTTGGCATGAGAGAAATGCACGGGCGTGAATCAGGCGAGAACGAGTGACACATGATGACACGACGACGGCCGCCGCCGGCCCGCAGCATCGCGCCGCTCTGCGCGATCGCTTGGGCATTCTGGGCCGTATTACCCGCTGAAACCGGTAAGTACAATCGCCGTTATCATTCCGGCACCTATTATTGTAAGTTGTCTCGACGTTCACAAAAGGGAGCTGCCGAAATGGTCGTAACACGAGGCTCTGAGTTTGAATGCCAAATTTTTTATACTATTAATGTATCGTAACTTCTGATAACGCAAAAAGTAATTTAGTAATAATTTTTAACAACTACTCGCAATATTTGTTATTATAAAATAGATGTGTATTATTATATATGAATTATTTAAGTTGTCTGTTAAAATAAATTTAATAATCGCGCTCAAAGAATTATATCCGCGAGACTGCATAAATAATAATTCTCAATCTTATAAGTGTCATCTAGGGAACCATAATTAATTCGATAAAACACGGCATAACAAATTTGAATAAAAATCCGAAAGCGAAATAAAAATATACATTAATATCATGTTAATTTAATTTATGATAAAAAATATTTACGAAAGTTACGGACCAAATCGGAACGAGAGATGGAAATTTTACGGTAGATTTAGAGCTCGTTAAATACTCGTTCTATACTTTTAACCCACTTTCGATTATTTGCACATACATTTTGCCCCGAATACCCTAATCATATTTTCAAAACAGGAAAGCGTTACGCTCTTCTAATAATTAATTAAAGAACAGAGAAATCATATTTTACGTACTGAACTCGTTGCTCATCGGATTATTAACTCTCACTTTAATTTAACGTGATGTCAATATCGGTAATCAATTGTTCGTTCAGCGAGCAATATCGCTATATTGTAAAATTTCGAAAAATTAGAGAATTTATTTATATAAAGTAAGCCTATTTTAGGAGCAGGGCACAGCCATGCGGTCAATAAACAGAGATACGATGGATTTTTTAACAATCTAGCACATCCTGATTGGGGTGCAATTGGCAAGTATTTGAATTTGTGTACTAAAATCCAATATATACCTTCGCTGTTTTATTACAATATTACGCACGTCAGGGTTGTCATTTTATTAAAATCTACGCGTTCTTTTCACTGAATAAATTTACTAGTGAAAGCATTTCGAAACATCTCAACAAATTATTAGAAAAAAAAAAAAAAATTTCCACGTTTTATTCAATTTTTTATTGACAATAGTTAATTAAAAATTAATCTCGTATTTATACATAGCTTTTTTGAGACTCAATAATTCTCAAGAAGTAGAAAATTTCTCTTAAATAGGTTTTGACAAGATTACTATTGCAATTATCTCTCGAAGCTTTTGACGTCAAAATGACGACAAAATGACGTATCAGGGATTCTTTTACGCGAAAATTATATATTTGTTTAATTAAATTTACGCTTTATCAATTTTCCATCGAATATTCAAGTAAGAAAGGGCATCAGAACTAATCAATCATAAGAATGATGCGAAAAATCTTAGGAGAGTTGATGAGACATGAAAGTGATGACCCCGCGATTATATTTCTACATGATACAGCGAAGGTGATTGTCCATGGAAAGTTATCCTAATACTAGTCGCATGTACCTCCATAGACAGTAGGCTAATCCGAAAGATTCCGGCGGCATACTCCGATGGTGTGTATGCGATGGCTGGCCAAGACAGGCCATCTCCTCGGAAGCTCAGCGATCTATTCATGCAGGGCGACGATGGCCTGCCGTCGGTGAAAAATCGAACCGCATTGTTCGCTTTCTTCGGTGAGAATAATTACGGATAATAATATATAAGTAGAGTCAGACAAAAAGCAGGAAATCGTCGAACAGTCCTAAAAAAATATAAGTGGTTTTTTTATTAGTACTGAAAAAGGCAAGAAAGAAAAAAGTTGTTAAATTGATACCTTAATAGACACTTTTTAGAATTTTTATAAACAAAGAACACTTACAAAAATTTGCTTTATTTTATACCTAAAATATTTGCTTATATAATGACAAAATGTATATTTAAAAATCTTTGATTTAATAAAAAAAAGAAAATCATTTTTATTTTTATGTAAAATGTCTTATATAAATATATAAATCTTGGCTTTTCTATACGTAAGCATATTTAATTTTATATAAAAAAATATACTTAAAATTTAAGCGCTGAGCATTCAAAGCTCCGTGCTAAATTATGTCATCAAGAAATACTGACATTTTTAATCCATACTATATAATAAAAATTATTTAACAATAAGACAGGGATAAATTTCTACGTAGATTACCATCAATCACGCCACGACTGTGCATCTCAGTATGATTTTATCTACAGCGTGGATATTATATTACTTGCCTTATACAATCCTCATTTGTCTAAAGGCGAACACGTACACGTGCACAGGCACAGTTAATTGTCACGTCTGTCAACGTCTGTTGCCTCGTAGTTCGCCGCGAAAAAAAAAAATGCACGATATTATATAAACCAATCCAAGAGATCGGATAA